GGTATTCCAACAAAAATAAATTTACCAAATTAACGTCAATTTACCCAACTAAGATATACTTTCTAGGAAAATAATTAATTATACGGCCTAAACAAGAAACACGTCCACACACAACTGATAATTGTTTTAGCTAATTTTTTTCACCAGGGTATTTAACTATGCTACTTACTTGACTAACCACCGATTGTTTACCGGTAGGTTGGTTTTAAATTTGTGGTTTTACAACTGAAATCGCGTGTGTGCGTAATTTATGTTCTGAGAATATTTCACTACTAAAAATCAGGTCACAAACAAGAAATGTATGCTATTTACCTTTCAACAACAGAAATGAAAATCAAAAAATCAAACATCATTAAAAATTCAAAATCAAAACTCACCAACTTGAATAACTGAAGACATAGGCCCTTTTCTAACCCAAGTGGTCCATTAGAGCATCTTTTGCCATAATTATTGTCTTGCCTCCTAAAACAAAATAAAATCCTTAATCTTCTAGCAACGATTAAAATGGAATGATAATAACCCTCTAAAAAAACCTTGCAAACGTAGAACACACAGTCAAATGGAACCAAAATTCATTCAATTCATAGCAAAAATCTATATTTATTTACCAAAGGCTAAAACTACCTCTCTGAAAAACAAAGAAATATAATTCATTCAACTTTGCTACAAACTCACTCTGGTGGAAAGGAAAATATGCATTTTTTATACAACTTGGAACAAAATCTAAATCAATTCCATAAAAAAAATACGAAGAAAACACTACTAACCATTACAACCAGCAAAAAAATTTTCAAGAAGAAAAGTGGAGTAGAAAGAGATATTTAAATTCATACACTTCTTCAACCTCCTTGAATAAATCAATCAATAGTCGAAAGGAAAATATGCATTTTTTATACAACTTGGAACAAAACCTAAATCAATTCCATGAAAAAAATACGAAGAAAACACTACTAACCATTACAGCAGCAATTTTTTTCTGGAGGAAAAGGGAGTAGAAAGAGAGATTCAAATTCATACACCTCTTCAACTGCCCTGAGTAAATCAATCAATAGAAATTGTTGTACCAGAAAATAAGAAGTATGGTTGCCTAGTATGGTCGCCGAAAATAAGGAGCAAAAATCGGGATGGACGTGAGCTAAAGAAGAGAAATAAAGAAAGAAAAAAATATATATAGACAAAAATGACGTCATTTTCTTCTCTCTTGTACAGTAAATTGGGATTTATTTACTGTTGCATCAACAGTGGCAACTCGTTAAACTTTTTAATAGAAGTTAGATACGAAACTATACCATCCCAAGATAACCCTAAATGTTTTCACAACAAATGATCTCCTGTATGTGTGCTTCATATAAAAGTATGATATAAATGGAAACTTGTGTACTCAAAAAACACGAGCAGGTTATACATTTCAATGGGCAGATTACTCCAAATGCAAAAATTGATAAATTTTGGGTACAAAACATGAAACCTGAACATTGCTAAACCCAAATGCTAATTTCCAGTCGTAAGCAAAAAGTTGTTTCCACAGTTGCAGCTCAAACGCAAAATGCTGAGGGTACAATGAGATTGACTCACTCCCAAGGGTACCTCTTTGTCAACCAATTATGTGCAGCTTCACTTCACTAATTATTTTCGTCCAATGTTTGTATTCTGCTACATTCGTTGATTATACGGTGTTGCCATTGAACTTTACATTATACCCGTTCGTAGCACCATATGCTCTCACTACAATTCTAAAATCTTGCATTGACCAAAACAGTTGGCCAACGTCAAACTAAGGATTTCTCATATCTGTTTTAGCCAAAAATTTTGGGAACCGATAATCAACCTCTTCCTCAAATGAACATTCCAATCGGATATGTTGTCATTCCCCGATAAGCATGCTTGCTCTTTCATGTCCTATTTCCGTATCGTTCATTCCAATTTCGATGCCATCCGTGACATTGCATTTGTACATAATATCTTCTTCCTCAAAACCCATATCAAGATCAGATTGAACGAAATCAGGATCTGCCTCGTAATGTGACACGAAAATGAAAACTCCAGTTCATTAATTGAAAACTAATTAAAACGATCTTAATCATTAATTGAAAACTAAATAAAATTTAACAAGCCATTTTTTTTCTTTTTTCCATTCATTTCTGATCCAATCACAGTCAATTTCAGAGTAATCAACTCATTAGAGAAATGAAATGAACTTTGGTAATGATGATGGGCATAACTAAAACAACTATCTTTTTAGAATTTTTTTCCCCAACTATAAAATTTTTTGAACATCCAGTGGAAACACCAAGTTTTTTATTTTGGTTGTGTAGTGCTCAAATATCAACCAAAATACTTGGTTTCCTGCGGATTTGACCCGTTTCATGCCAACTATAACTCCGTAGTTATACATACAGCTTTTTGCAGAATCCTATCAGAATTTGCATTTACACATAAAACATTCTTACCTCCGTCAGCATCGTCCATTTGTACCGGTTGAAACCTCATATGTGCTGCAGGTCGAGAACCGATTAGGTGAGGTGGGCATGCCGACTAATTTGTCGGACGCTGATCGCAACAGAGAAGCACGATTTAGACGAATTTGATTAGGGTTCTTCAATTTTGCGTGAATGCTATGGCATTAGATCATAGCTTAAATGAAAGGTGAAATTAAATGATATAGACTGGGATTGAAATCCAACAACGCTAAATAGGATTACTCGTGATGTTATCAATTTCCAGTCTTTCTCAGATAAGTTAGTATGTTAGTTTGTTATCAATTTCCTACTTTAATGGATGTAAACGTTGTGCCCAGCTCTATTTAAGTGTTGGGACTGTTTAATAAGGAGCAGCAGAAAAAATTTAATAAGTCTCTTTTGAGAGAAACTGGGACGTATTGTTTCCTCATATAAACCAAATTATTTGTTGTTTTTGTTATTCATAACTAATAATTCGTTAGCTCCTATCATTTTTGGTATCAGAGCCTAGGATGGATCTTCGAGATAGATTGACAAAACTTGAAGAAATTGTGGCCTCTCTAACTGCGGGTCAGAAAGAGATACTGGAAAAAAATTTCTGAAAACAAGGAAAAAATCATCCAGCAAACTCATGGTAAGGGAGAGGAAGAGGTGGAGGGCTCTTCCTACAAGGGAGGAACATGGAGCAGTAATTTCATTCCAAAAACACTGAACTTGATTTTCCTCGTTATGATGGACACGACGAACGACATGGGTGTGCAGAGCAGAGAAGTATTTTTTCATTGCATGAAATTCGGGAATCTGATAAAGTCATGTTGGGTTCATTTCATCTAGAAGGTGATGCTCAATTATGGTTCCAAATGTTGGAGCAGGAGATTGTATATGTTACTTGGGAGGACTTCAGACAAGGGATATTTTCTCGCTTTAGCACCAACCAGTTTGAAGACCCATTTTGTGAACTCATTCGGCTGCGACAAATTGGAACTGTGATTGATTATCAAGGAAAGTTTGAGAAGCTTTTATCCAAAGTTGGCCATTTGTCCCAGGAGAAGAAAGTGAATTGTTTTATCACTGGGCTGAAGGAAAGTTTTCGAATTGATGTGCAGGCCAACTTACCAGTAACTCTTACGATCGCTATCAGTTTGGCAAAATTATATGAGGCCCGTGATGTTGCTCATGTTAAGGGAATATAATCCCACATCGGTAAAATACCGAAATAATGATCAATATATAAAGGATTGGGACACTCCTCTTAATAAGGTCAACCTTATTAAGATGGACCCCAAGTCTTCACATGGTATCAGAGCTAACCCATGAATTTCAAGATTGGTGTGATCAAGTAAGCCACCATCTTGAGGGAGCCTGTTAAGGTATTATATCCCACATCGAATGATGATGAAAATAAATACCAATTTATAAAGGATTGGACTTCTCCACTTAATAAGGTTGACCTTATTAAGATGGACCCCAAGTCTTCACATGGTATCAGAGCCCATTAAGCTCCAACGAGCGATTCGATCCGATTAAGTCTCTAAAAATGAGCACACGGATTTCAAGATTGGTCTGCTCAAACGAGCCACCATCTTGCGGGGGCATGTTAAGGGAATATAATCCCACATCGGTAAAATACCGAAATAATGACCAAATAGATAAGGATTGTGACACTCCTCTTAAAAAGGTTGACCTTATTAAGATGGACCCCAAGTCTTCACAGCTCAAAGAAGAACACCTGTAATGATGTCGAGGCCTGCAATCAATACCCCATGATCAGCTCCAGAACGCAATCCCATAAAGGCAGCTACTGTGTCAACTTTAAAACGAATGACTCAGATGAATTAGTTAAGAGGCGTCGGGAGGGATTGTGCTTCCACTGTAATGAAAGATATGTCCCTGGTCATAAATGCGCGAAGTTATTTCATATCAAAGCTTGTTGGGAACTCGATGAGGATGATGGAGATATAGACATGGAGATAGAAGCAACTGAAGATGCTATACCAGAAATCTCATTGCATGCCATGGCTGGGGTACAAGTACCAACAACTATGCAAGTCTGGGGCAGTTTACAAGGACAGCCAGTAATGGTGCTTATTGACTCTGGGTCGACACATAACTTTGTCAATTCTAGGGTCGCACAACAAGCAAAGCTACAAACAAACTCAATTCGTAAACTTCAGGTCATGGTAGCATCAGGTGAAAGGTTAATAAGCCAGGGTAAATGTGAGAAAATTTATCTTAAGCTCCAAAGAACTCCATTTTTCATTGACTTCTTTGTATTACCATTGGAGGAGTATGGTGTTGTTCTCGGCACTCAGTGGCTAAGCATGTTGGGTCCTATTGAGTGAGACTTCGACAAGCTTCTCATGAAGTTTATTTGGAATAACAAGGAGTGTGTCTTGCATGGCATAGTGAATTCAC